AAAATGAAAACAATGTTCTCTCATTGGTCATTTTCAGTGATTTGAACATGTTTGTTCTACAAAAATAAAAATATAAACATGGCATTTACTTGAACACACATTAGCATTCATCCCTTTTGATAACTTGTCAAACGCCTAACGGAATGACTTGTCAAAATTTGAATTAGTTTCCTATGAAAGAAGAGGCTCTGATACAACACAAATGATTATATATTATTCTCCTGACAGTGCTCAGAGACAGATATGAAGAAGAAATATAGTGTAGGAATGATTGTGGGAAAATCTTCAATATCAAAACATCACTTTTTCCTCCTCTAAAATGTCACTATGAGCTATGAGAAGTACTTCAAATGCTTCTGTGCAACACTTTAAAAAGCCAGGTGTCATGTGCTGATCTGATTCTGTGGTGCAGTTAGTGGATCACTAGGCTTTGAAAATTGTCAGCAGGAGTGTCAGAGAAAGTTGTTGGAGTCAAAAGGGTAAACAGGAAAATAACAAAAAGGAAAAAAAAAGAGGGAATTTCAGAACTGGCACTGAAAGGGAAGGCTTCAATCAAGCAGACAACGTGGGCTCATCAAAGAATTAGACTCAACACCAACTAGGATTCCTCAGCCTGTTTTTAACAGGCATCATGTTTCTTCTTCTAAGTACAAAAATTTCAGATAAAGAAAATGTAAATGTTTTATTATTATTATTATTTAAAGTAATTATTGGAAATATCCATATAAAATATATATGTTTAGATGTACATTTAAGAGATAAATGTTTGTATTTTATCATTTTCATTGTGCTCCGCTTCTTCTCTTGCTTTTTTTTTTTTTTTTTTTTAAAGAAGAAACCTAGTAAGGAGCCGGAGTCAGAAGCTAGAGAGTGAACGATAAAGAGCCACTCTCTAGTCAAGCACCTATGAGAGGCTTTAAAAATAAGGGAAAAATCCAAACTATAAATTCCTTCTTGTATCTCTTGCATTTAAAGAGCCACAAATCAACTTCCCTAGACCCATCAATATTTAACAAAATGAAAAGGCAGGAAAATGAAGAGAGAGAAGAGTGCATATGTTATTATGTAGTGTTGCCAGATTACAAAATGCATCAGGGAAAAAAAGCGCCAGGAGGCATAAAATGATATTCTGACACATAAAAGAGGTGACATCAAACATGAAATCAGGTGAAGTCCACTGTGCACCTCAGGAGTGCAGCTACAGTGGAGCAGATAAAAGGAAAATCAAAATGAAATGACAGGGGGGGAAAGTCTGCTCTGATTGAAGTGACACAAGGAAATGAGGATTCCACTATCTTCTGATATTTCACTAAAAAGGTTGCCAAACACCGAGGCAAGTGGACCTGAGAGAGCAAGGACAATAATATGAAGAGGTTGCTATGTACTGTGGCACAAAAAACCAGATTGAAAATAATGGTAAAAGTGACAGAGGAGGAATGAGAAACTCCTACTCAAGAATGAATGAACATAAGCTGCTACGTATCTAACGGAAAGCGGAAGCAATGCTGCGAGGTGGGCAGAGTGCTGCAAGCGCTGCCGTGTTCTGTCCAGTGATTTATGTCTGCGCTAAGGCAACAAAATGTAGAAACAAGATCAGAGCACATTCTGAGATGAACTCAGGACTTGGTGGACTGCTGATGGATAGCTCCTGTCTTACCATTCCACCATTTTGTAAGGTGAGAGGGAAGGACAGATAAGGAACGACAAGGTGTATTTTCCAGAGTATCTGCAAAAGACTATACAATAAAAAGGACAGCTGAGATGAGTTAAGATGTTTTTTTTTTTATGAGCTGATTTCACTTACTGTTGTTTAATACTATATTTTGCATAACATAAGACCTAAATGTAAATCCTGGAAGTAATAACTCCTTTAAGATCTAATAAGTCTGTTTGGAAACTTTACTTCAGGGGTTAGCAATTCTGCTGCATGTTTTCTATTTTTGTCTGTTCTATCTGAGATAAATTATTAGGTCCCTGTAGAATAAAGTGATAGTGTGAAGTGATGTGAAACAGTTGTTTGGAGCAGGAAGACATTTAAGACAAGCTGAACAACAGCCCCTTAAGACCAGAGTTGTCCATGTCTATCCTTGGGATTTGATAAGAGCTGATTAAAAGGCGACCCAAACCACAGCAGACAACATCCACATGGTGCACAGCCAAGTCTTTGAATGCAAAAATAAAAGAGTGAACTTTAGAGGATGATGCAAAGTAGGTGGTCATAAGGAAAAAACGTTTGTATTTTGAATAATTTTGTGATCCTCCATTATAGGTAATACAGTGCCTTCCAAAAGTATAGCCAAATTCAGAGTTTATTAGTCTTGAATCTTTCTGTATATTTTGAATGAATTGACTATATATCTCTGTATATAAATTGGTGTTTTTTAAAAAGTGCCTTGAGATTACATTTCATTGAATTAATGTTATATATGACAAATGGTGGCACAGAATTTTCCTTAGGGGTGTTGAGGGTAAAAGGGAACTGAACCCATTTTCCGAACAAACCTTTCAGAATTTTATTAGTGAAGAATTTCACTTTACAACTACATGCTACTTTTTGGTGGTTTGTCACATTAAATAAAAAAATGTTGTGAAGTGGTTGTACCATAATCAACTGAGAAAAGGCCTTGATTAATGCCTCCACCTACAAAATATTTCATATAATAATAATTACGTTTCCCACCAGATTTGATGACAATTTTAAATGATTAATATCAAAGACCCTTACATCCCAAACTCTAAACTAGAGCATATTTGCAAAGTTATAGTATAGGATATCCACACTACTTTTTCAATCAATTATTTTTTTCTCTAACAATCGAAACGTTTTACTTCACAGTGATGTTCACAGTTGAAAGACAGACTGAAGCTGCTTGTCTGTGTATGACTGACTCTATGTTGCTTTGATAGATGTACATATAGTGAAAAGTTGTAGAGATTCAGTTAAAGATGTCATATTTTACAACTTTTAAAAGCAAAGAGCTGATTTTAGAAAGCAAGTCAGCAACTTCTTTTGTAAAGTTTGTCCACACTGAATGAAATAGAACAGCAAACTAAAGCCTAAATTTATACTAAGGCTAAAAACATAGACACATGCATGCGATTGACCTAAAAGGTTTACTGTGATCATATTATATAATGCAATTAATTGCATAACATATTACATCCTCTCTCCTGCAGAGAGCACCCTGATTCACAACAATGCATCAAACAGTCTTTGGTCAACAACGCAAAGTCGCAAATGCGAGTGAAAAGATGAGCAAGTTGAGTCAAACTGGTATGCTCAGCACCAAATATAGCTTGATAAATCTCCTTGATAGAACTGTGGATAAAATCAAGGTGTTATGTACACATTGCCACAATAAATTCTGTTTTCACCAAAGCGCAAAGTGTTTAAAAGAACATCTTTGAGCAAAACGCATTTTTGCTGACACTAGCAAAGACGCTAATTCAGGACGGTTTTACAACAGCAAGCCACACTTGTCAGACAACGCTGACAGAGTGAAACTGTAGAAACTTCAACAAAAACTATTGTAAAAAGAATACATAAAGTGTACAACATGAATGAGGCAGCTAAATCACAACAGCTAGCAGACACTACATTTACTGCCTTTACCAGATACCCCTGGACATCTGTGGGTAGTCACAATTACTGCATGGTTACAACAAATAGATGAGAAATGAAACTCCACTCTCCTGCAGAGAGCACCCTCTTGAACTCCGTTCAAGATGAAAACGTAGTGATTCATCTTGATTAATCAGTCCTATAATGTGATTAATTTGATATGTTTTAATCAGTTGACAGCACTGGTTTATGTATCATATATAAAACAAGTTACAGTTGAAAATAACCATTTATAAATTAACCTAGAACTTTAGTAAATTCCCCTGCATAAATAGTATCATGTTTTCAAGACTGCAGCTATTTGTGACATAGCTGCAGAAACATTTGAGTATAGTTTTCCAAACCTAATTAACCTAATTTTCTATCAGTACTTTTAGGTTGGACACAGTTCCTTTGGGAATAAATGGCAGAAGAAACCTCACAACATAGGTGGTAAATGAGAAAAAGGCACAATAATCACAATTCTAATGTGATTAGTGAAATAGCGAATAAAAAAAAAAAATGTAACCTGGAAAATCAGAGGTATGTTTTTCTTGGAATAAGAGGTTAACCTTATCATTATACTGCAGGTCAAGTACACAAGAGGAGGGTAAGTGAAAGCAAGCGGAGAAATGTGTTATTCCAGCATTGATGCGGTGTGTAAATACTTTTTTTGAAGAAAATCACTTGCCTGTGTGTAAAACATTTCAAAGGAGTCACACTCCTTTAAGGACTATCAAAGGCTGTTTATGTCTGTGTGCAACAAATACTTTTATCCCCTACCTCCATGAATGTGAATTTAAGTGTCAACGGCCAGCAAAAGTATTCATTTCAGTTTATGCTTGACTAATCAATTAGGCAAGTGAGCAAACAAGCAAGTAACCACGGCCATGGTATAAAAGGGAAGAAAGGAAAGCTGAAAGGCAATGCTGTTGGGGGACTGCAAAGCTTTTCAACAACTATCTTGAGTCATAGCTGTGTCGAGAAAAAGTGTGAACTCATTTGCTCTGAGGAAGCTCAGTTTAGTGGAAAAAAAGAGTACTACTGTCATTCACATCCAGCATGTAGGTGCCGTCCTTAAGCTTTAATGTTGACAAAAAATGATTCAATAAAAATACTGAAAAAAGTAAACCAACACAAAGAAAAAGCTTGGGAAATAAATGAGCAAAACAAAAATTCAAATAGCACAAACCATAGAACATATAGTGTGACAATGACTTTCATTTTGTCTGTATTTCTATGCTATTGTGTGGCATAGCAAACAATGCATGTGAAAAGAGATCGGGTTTAGGTGAAACACCCATCAGAAAACATGAAGTACTACATTACAAGCAAAAGAATGGCTTGTGCCATCTTTTTATTCGATTAATTTGAGCGTAGTGTTCGTAGTGTGTCATACCTCGCATTCTCGGGAGCCTGAGATGGTGTAGGTGCATGGTCCAGTTCCATTGACAAGCACATCCATGGCCTCAGAATTGTTGGGCTTGTAGTCCACATAGTACTCCTGCAGAGGGGAGCTAAGGGTGCGCTCCGTCTCTCGGGGTTTCTTGCGACGCTTGCGAGCCGCGGCAGAGTGCTCCTGGAGCTGCTTCACGCTGTTAGGGTAGCGCTTCCAGGACACATAAATTACCAAGAGGATCATTGCAACGGACAGAAACAAGGCAACACTTCCGGCCACAATCTTATGGAAAGAGACAGGCTCTAAGTCTTGCTCTGGAGGAAGTGCAACAGGTGGGGTAACTGCCAATGAAGTAGGACCCCAAAGAGATCCCTCAGATCTCTTTCCCGAGCTAGTTGTCAAAGCCAGCACAGATGGATTATATTCTGTCTGAACAGGGATCCTGGATGGGTTTGGAGTAATATTCACTGTGAGAACTGGCCCTTGGTTGGATTGGCAAACCCCAAATGCTTCAATTGCATCCATCACTTTCTCTCCTTGAGCTTTCTTGGGAGAGGCACAAATCATTGTGGTCTCTTTTGCCCCTCTAAAATTTCTCAGCCAAGCCACAAGAGGACAGATGGCAGGGCTACAGTCCCAAACATTTCCTGCTAAACTAATCATGGTCAGTGAGATCCAAGCATCAACAACCTCCTGAGAAACGTTTGTCAGCTTATTTGAGTCCAGGTTGAGAGTCTGCAGGTTTGGTAAGCATTGGTAGACTGCGGGATCTACTTCTGTCAGTTCATTCCCTGACAGATCCAGTTTTTGGACAGAGGCCCAGGTCCAAGTCAGGCCCTGGCTCATTGATCGAATGCGATTCCACTGCAGGTAAAGAGCCCGCAAATTGTAGAGTCGAGGAAAATGGGAAAAATTGATCTTGGAGAACTGATTGTGCTCCAAATGTAACTCAGTGAGTTTGACAAGTCCAGAAAGTGCATTTCGAGTGATACTCCGGAGGCGATTGTAACCAAGATCAAGGAACTCAAGATTTCTGCAATCTTGAAAAAGACGCATCGGGAGAGTTTTTAGTGAATTAGATCGCATGTGAAGACTAAGAAGTTTACGTAACCCTTGGAATTGCCCAAGTTGCAAGGCTTGCAGTTTATTGTATGACAAGTCCAAATTCCGCAAATTAGGGACAGGATGAAATGTTGTATTATGGAGTGATGTAATCTTGTTCGAACTTAGAATCAGTTCTTTAAGCCTGCGGACCCCCTGGAATGCCATTGCATCCACAGAGGCAATGTAATTATGGTCCAAGTAGAGCCAAATAAGATGGTTGAGGCCAACAAACTGTCCTGCGCGAAGACTGGAGAGGCTGTTGTACCGCAGCGACAGGCCCTCACAGCCTCCTGAAAGGTTCTTGGGGACATCACGAAAGGCGCTTGACTCACAGTAGACAATTTTTCCATCACAGCGACAACTCTTAGGGCAGTGGCGATCACTTAGAGATGGATTTGCTGCTAGCCACACCTGCATCAGGAGTTGGAACAATAGCCAGCGACGCTGCAGAGCAGAGCCTAAAAATAAAAGAATGAAGGGAAAAAAGGAAGGTTAGAAAGTAAGATAATGTTTACTTTCCAATTATCTTTTAGATTATAATATAAGTATTTCATTGAACAAATACTTTTTAAGTCAAATGCTTATACTTGACTGCAAGTACTTGTCCCTGTGACCTCATTGATCTCCAAAAGACAAAGGCAATAAAACAAAATAAATTCTTACTGACATTGAGATGAGATAAGTTGTCTTGATCATCTTGGCAAAAACATTTCAATTCAATCAAAGAATCTTTTCCTACAGATTTGGACTGTTACTACACGTTCTTCAAAAAAGCATACAAAGGCTAAAATGTAACATCAACAAAGAAATTAAATTTTTGAAAGTGTACTAAATCACTAATAACTGGGGAAGAAATTCAACCCAGAAAAGGAGTAAGAAGAAAAAACTTTTATGGCATAACAAGTCCCTGAATAGCAGGAAGCCCATTCTTTCAGCTCAAAAGCAAAACCAGCTAAATGTGACTCCATGTGCAGGCAGAGCTAATATGCCCCTTAGACAGTCCTATAAATATTACCAGAGTAGAAGATGTGTAAAGATCCAGAACACATACAATGTACCAGATGCGGTAAGCATTAAAGTGAGGTGGAAATACCAAGGGAGCCGGCCGAGAACAACAGGGCTAAAACCCACATCATCATAAGACATAAAAGCAAAAATAGCAACATTTACATTTTATTAAATTTAATAAATTGGCTAGTTGATGCAAGCAGCACAGATAGAGAACATGTTGAAAAAAAAGACATTAAATGAGACTTGCTCTCTCAAACTAAGTGACCAAACAAGATGAAGACTGCCACTGCAAGTCACCAAAAAGACCTACAACCGCTAAAGATAGAAGGTGAAATGACAAGATAAAAGCACACTAATTGTCTAACCATATTTAAATATAAACTGAAAGGTTTTATGGTCTGAAACTAAATGTAAACTTATTTTTTAACAGATTAAACCAAATACTGCACATCACCACAAACAATACCACAAAGCAGGCTCTAGAAAGCTTGAAAAAGATGTAAGAGAAGGTAAATTGAATGACCTTCTCTGTTTCAATCTCCCAATTGAAACAGCATTGTTAAATAATTGAAACCTAAATGCAGCTTTTTAATTTAAATATAGTTGAAAAACTTCAATAACATGTTGCAGTGTATAGTAATCTTCATTGTCATTACTGTAAACAGTTGGATCTCGTAAACAGCATACCAGGATAAAGGAAGTGGTGATTTTAATCGCCACCTTCTGAAACTACCTAAACAACATAGTTGTACCTAAACTCCTAATTTATCACATGCCTGAAATAAAATATTTCAACTTAGCTTCATCAAAATGCCAGAGCATAACCTCAGACTTTTTTTCTTAGGAGTCTCGAGAATGCAAAAAACAAGACAACACACACACGCACACACGCCTGCTGAACTTCATGCCCACACTAATCCACAAAACTGCCTTTCAGGTAGTTGTTTGATTCTGCAGAGAGGTGTTGTGAAATTCCATTCCTCTGGGGATATAGTGATGATTTTGGACCAGAGAAAAGCAAAAAGTAATGATTCAGACTGAATCTGTTCTGCTTTGGTTTGGTTAAACATGAAATGACTGGAGTCTAAATTGAAACGCCTCCAGGACTGTAGACACAACTATCACTCCTTTCATGCTGATTTTTTTCTGCGCTGAGTAAAATCTCACTCTCCATGACTGATCTGCTTCTGCAATTGGCACTGTGATTGCTTTTGGAAAGTGTAACTCCAAATATGGATGAAGATATGACTCTGGAAACGTTATGCTGCATTGATTGTCGGGCTATATTTACTACAGAAGAGACAAAACAGTGGATGCCATGGAATTTGGTGAAAGGTGTTCACAGGAACAGAAGCTCAGAAGACTTTTTCAAAAACAGATTGTATACTCCTGATTTTAGTCCAATAAAGCATATAAAACTACTCAGAAAAATCTGAGCATTTTCACATGGTTAGTAAATATAAACATACCCAAAACAGGTCACAGAACTTAGTATAGTAATGCAACATATCTCCGATTTGTGTATTCAACATGTACTTTAACAAAAGTCCCTGTCTTTTTTTGATTCTGTGTTGAACACTGATCCCTGATGTCTGCTTTAATGGTTGTTCATGTAAGCTGGTGTACAGGTGTTCCTTTAGTAAGAACAGCTACATTTTACTCGCTGGTTGCTGCACCTGCAGATCCCAAAGAAGGCTTTAGGATTCATGGTTTGATAAAACACCATCAAGTGCACTTTTCTTAGAAATTCTGCAATTTAACAAAACTGTAGGAATAATGAACACGAGCCGCTTGTGAAGATACACTGGGCATGACAAATTTGGAGCCTGAAATTCAAGTGTGTGAATTACATTTATTACACTACTGCAGCGACAGAGAAACTGATGAAGAAACCAGAAAATATGGACCGAGGGTGTTCATCATTTTTAAGCTTAGTTGTAGGATTAATTCTAAGATTAATTAAATATTTAGGACTTTAAAGATAAATCCAGCAGACTTGGAGTTAGAAAGAGCATGAAACTGGAATGCAAATTTTAGTTTTCATAAGGGTTGAAGCTTGGAGAAGGGGAAGTCGTAATCCCATAAAATCAAGACACAGTAGCTGGCATACATATATTTTCTTTTTCATTTAATTACCAAACTTTAGTGGATTTGGTAGGATTTTATGTTTTGGAAAAAAACAAAGTAGCATATTTAAAATGTAATTAAGAAAAATACTTTTTTTTCAATTATTTTGACTTTTGCTCTGTGAAGGTTTCAGACTTTTGCTAAAGAAAATTAGCAAACAAACAGCATCTTGCAGAATGAAGAACACACCAGACATGGCAAAATGATTTGAGGATGATACAGTTGATATCACATTGCTTGAAAAAAAACAAAAACAAAACAAAACATATAGCTGTGGTCTGCACTTGTGAAGTAAATTAATTTGGTAAATTTTGGAGGCTAGTATGGAAATAATTAAGGATTATTTAATAACTTTGCTATGAATAGAAATGCATAGCAAAGTTTGAATTCATGCTTTGTGCTGGTTTATTAAATTAATATATGTCTATCATGTAAAATGTCAATAAAATCCATTGAGGTTTGTGGTATTAAAGTGACAAAATGTGAAAATAATTCAACAGGGTTTAAAGTTTTTGGTAAAAAGTCAAAATAATGATTTCTGGTATAAAGATCACAAAAAAGGGTATTTAACTTCCTTCAACAAACTTATTTTTTATTAGCTTGGAATCAGTTGTTTCCACTTAAAATCCCCCCATTCATCTCACCCTTTTGCGCAGCAACTAATGATCTATCATTAAGATACATTGATTTCCCCTGAAATAGATAGTATGAGAGAATGCTCACCTCAGTCTGCTTCTCAAGGCAATATCATCAAGTGCGAAATTTATTGCCATGATTAGACTGAGATAAGATTAATACATGGAGATAGAAGTGCTCCATCTTCTAATGAGATTAAAATATGATGACAGCTACTACTGTGAGTCCAAATTGAACGTGCCATATTTTTAGTATGTTACACTGATAACAAACTTCACTTTGAAACATGGAAATCTCCAGACTTTGGGGAATACCTCTATTGCAGTCAAAGGCATAACTTTGATTCTGTGGAATCTCAATAATCTTCTGGGGATTTTGTCAGATGTAAGTGCCTGACATAGTGTGGCTGAGAGGCATCATACAACATATGGAGTCTAACATAGCCATTTAGTTCACTGCCAAGCATCTGCCAATCCCATATGGGGATTGTATGTGTATTTGTCTGTGTCTTGCAGTGTGATTGAAAGAGAAACACTTAGTGTTTGTTTTCAGAAGATTCTTTCATCATCCCTTACAGATGGAGGGAACTGTGGAGCCGCAAAGATAATTTGTGCTGGCTATTGATTATACCAACAGCTCCATCCATCATATTTCTTCAGTCTAGGTCCAACAATTGTGCTCCTTTAACATACACACTGTAGAGATTGAAAGATGAGGATCACAAGATTTGTGAGAGTAGTCGATTTATTTTTGTCTAACGTGTATAAAGCATATCAAAATCTAAGAGGAGACAAGGTAAGAAAAGTGATGTAGACAAATGGCGGCACATAATCTCCCATGTCCATTTAAAATACTTAGAACCAAACGCATGTTCAAGAGTGGACTAAAATATGTGGGCAGTTTCCACTAAACATGAATGTGAACTTTCACTCAGTCTTGGATCCCACGAGGACGCACAAGACTTGTACTCTGCATTCTTCCCATTTGCAAAGTATGGCTGCTTTATTAGAAGTGACTCCTGGATCACCTACAAATGGAGGCTGGCTCACAAAACACCCCTTTGCCTCTGACTGACATGGCATGCAGCTTAATGAGACATCTATGAGCTAAGGCCTCTGTAGGCCATCTTCTTCCCCATTCCTTCCTCTAATCTTATTCACAAAGCAGCACAAGTCACCCTCCTAGGTGTCACTCAAAGGGTTTGTGTCTCTATTACCTCCCAGCTGAGGTCCTTTTCATCGTTACTATTTTTTTTTTGCTCCTTCATTTGAAAGAATTTTTTTTCTTTCGTCTAGCACACATTAAATTCTGCATGCCCTTGAACCCTGCAGCCATCAGGATGTTTTTGTAACTCAAAACCTATTTTTGAGCATGGATTAAAAAAAATGTCTTCTTTATTCCTTTGCAACTTTTGTTTATTCCCATCTGAAGTCATTATCTACAGTAACTGGCAAAACCTTTGTTGCATTTTGCCCCCAATTCAATGTATTGTACATTGAGCTAGAACGACATTTGTGAAGTGGAAAGAAAATTACTGACAGTTTTTGAAGTTTTTTACAAATGAAAAGTCAATGTCAGGTGCATTTGTATTCAAACCAGTTTGATTTAATTTGATTGTGGGAAATGAAGGACAGTGGACACTGCGTGGATAATTGGCACGGTTCACAGAAAACACACAGCAAGT